TGTACCTTCTCATCTCTCTGCAACCTCTTTTCTCCCCTTCATCCCTTCCCGAGTGCAGGGTAGCGAAGCGTATGTTCGTCTGGTTAACCTCCCTGCATTTCTTTGCATCTTTATCTCTCTCTGACAACTCGCCACAAGAAGTGAGTTCATTTACTTCTGTTATTTATTTACCTAAAAGAAAAGAACAAACGAAGGGCAGTGGGCTGTAAGTTTCTTGCCAACTCAATGAAAAATTTGTCATGGTTTGTCTGCGAAGCAATGTCAGGTGTTAGGCTGTTCCAGAGACTGGTGTACTGTGATGTATCAGTGAAAAGTTGAATTATTATGTCGCACTCTATCAGGAGACATAGCTCATTGTGTTCTGCTGTCTGCGTGATGTGAAGACGTGGGCTTATTGAGTTAATCATGTAATGAAGGCAACTAGGCTTACGAATGTAGTCACCCAGTTTAGTTTTACTGCAGAAGTCGCAACCCTTTCTCGTTCAAAGGTGTTCGTCATAGCTTCAGGCGATGCAATTTTCTGTGCCATCGATAATAAGTTGTGCATAAAATGGCCATCTGTGTAGACCGCAATATTTTAAAAAATTTGCTTAAGTTGCAAAATAACAAAACAGAAGCATTTCTTAGCAGATGTGTTTTCGCATGCTGCGATGAGGCTTTTGAGCATGCTACAAACGATGCTCATGGGTGCGTGACGGAAGAAACACAATCAAATGTAAACTACTGATTGTTGTTTTTGAATTAGCCTTACATTGGTCCAGAACCACGGAGGGGAGATCCCGATTACTATTAAGTTTGATTGCATCAACTGTACAAATAAATAAACCTGTTCTAGAGCATGAAAAGCTTCATATATATGTTCGACTTTAAGGCTCAATGCTCGCGTAAATGCATGCTGGTGCTTGTTTCTAGTAGATCATTGACTGATAAATTAGTTCTGTTTGCTGTAGAAGGTTGCATGGACTTAATCAACAAAATCATCTGCCTCAAACCTATAGTAGCGCCTCGGTAACGAGCCTATAGGTGGCTCCTCTACCCATGCAGGGGGCGCAATTCATGCTCATTTTAGCTCCCGCCCACTGTTTCGAGCTCCGTTTATATCGAGCAGTGTCATAATCTTCCTCAAGTTTGAATTTACAAGCTTTTATTGTAGTAATCAATAATACATCTCGAACTATTGTCTTCGTCTTGGCTACATTTCCGCTTAACGGGCAAGGCACCTTCCTGTACACTGAAAAAAGTAATAAAAACATAAAAAATTGTTACATATATTAGGTGGTAATAAACAGTATCATATCAATATACGCCGCTGAAGATTGTCTATGCCCGTGAGAAAGTTACAATAGTGTTGCTTTTCCGAAGTTCCGAAAAACATATTAAACGTATATAGGCAAACTCCAGAAAAAAAAGCGGTGCTAAGTTGAAAGATTTACTGAGATATGTTTCTTATTATGAGCTTAGACACGAAGTTGCATACGTGTCAATCTTTCAACTATTTGATAAAAGTTTAACGTAAGTTCCATCTTCCAGTACAAAAAAAAAACTGCCGTTCATATATAATATGTGGTATAAACGCATAGCACTACTTACATGTTTGCTTATTTCTTTCATTTTAACGTAATCGGACTTCACCCTCAAAAAGCTGTTACCGCCACTTGCCACGCCACATTGTATGAAAAGTTCGCGATTGTGTTAAAGTGGTCTTTTGAGATTACGCGCAGGACATGAGCGACCGACCTTTTTTCTGAACTGGCACGAGCCTCAGCGCTAACGCTGGTAAATTCTATCGCTATATAGTACCAAAACTGACGCTTTCCGCAGACGATTGTGATAAGAATACAGCTAGCCAACCTAGTATAGTGCGCATTGCTACTTTTGCTTCGACTTTTGATTTCACTGGTTCATATTCACTCATTAGTGAGCATCTTTAGCAACATGGCTGTCCCGAGAGAAATTATTTGCCTTGACCAAATCGCATTCTTTTATGCTCTGAAGGCTTTCATACACCATATGGATTTCAAAACTTTTTCTTTGGCGAGTTGTTTACGCATGATTGTTTTCGAGGCGTGAAAGAAGAATTTTGCAATTAATATGTGTGGCCCTTGAAAGAAAGCTTGCGGCCGTGTCGATTTTCGTGTGCTTCAAGTGAACGAGAAAACTGAACTTCAAAATGTTGGTTCCTCGTGCTCTATATACTTTGAAATGTTTGCCTTCCACTAGGTTTCATATTGTTATTTGACACTTGGTAGCTTCCCTGTGTTTTGTTCTGTAAGGACCACACCACCAGGCTGATACGATTTCGGAAAATTTACAAGCCGCATTTTTTTTTTCTGTTTCCGAGGACCTATGCATTTCCCCTGCCTTAATCTCTTCATCTTGTGTTGCAGCTGTTCGCCACTTTTCCACATGCCGTTGTCGTGTTCACAACCCTGAACGAAACTTGCTTTAAGTGTCTCAGTGCAACGAGAAGAAATTTTAGATCACGGGAAAAGACAGTTACCTACGTCTGGCACTTGAAAAATCATACTGGTCACCCGAGGTACGTAAAGCAAGTGTCATAACATGAATTTCTCTTCGGGATAGAGAATGCCGTCGTCGCAACGCCAATGCCACAAGGTTCGACGTACCTTTACACTTCTGCTGCACACAGGCACATAAACGGGAGGTTCATGTATATACTGATAATTCATACAATCACTTTTTCAGAATCGCGTGCCAAAACAGCGACGTCGCCATAAGGAACGTCTCAGTAGATTCCATCTTAAACACTTGAACATGCCTTTATTGTAAATGATAGCTGTGGATAGATATTTGCTGTTTTATGGATGGTATGGTTGCGGGTAAACAACAGGGGAACCTACCACGCAATGCAAGCATAGTGGTGGCGCTGCTAGTGCAAGGGTATGTATTTCTGGTCAGTGCTAAATACAGACACCCTCATTCGGTAATTGCACTGTCGTCTCACAATTAACTACTGAATCTTCGGCTGCAGCGTTCGCGTCCCTGTGCTGCACTTGGAAGTGAAACTGCACGAGCCAGAACCACAACTAATGAACCATTTTGACGTCCACGAAACGCATCTCATGCACGACGCAAAGTACCTCATTCAACAAGGTGACCTCTGAAACGAGAAAATATTATTACGAAACTGATTTAAGACAATCATGTTTTTCGCTAGAGAGAACCATGCACGCTCTTTAGCGCATGGTTGGCAGACAGGCAAGCCGACAACTAACTTTATTCAGGTCCAGAGAAACTGGCCAGAGATGGGAAAGGGGTATCATTGGGGCCTTCGGCTCACCGTTGGCTTCTCCCAAGGCCATGTCTTTTATCTTCCACGGTGCCACTGAAGGGCTATTCACTAGAATTTGAGATAGTTTTGTTTTAAATTTTATAATGTACGCAATATTCAACCTCGCTGCAGAGTGCAAACCAAAGAATGCCCTACACACACTCACATCTTTTGTCCACATACATCGACCATTGCTAACACACATCTCACCTGTCAACGGTATTGAATGCCCCACAAAACCTTGTCAAAGCTGATTTTGGAGGCAACGCTACACTTTCTTTCAAGTAGGGAGAGCGCCACGTAGCTGGCGTTGGCAGACCACTCTGATGCTAGCGTCCGTTCCTACATAGAATGCTGGTATCATGGCGCTGAAGGGCTGTAACTACTGGAGCGTTTTCTGTTGGCACTCGTAAGTGTCATAACGCCCTACTTTGTCGTAACCATCTCGACAAAGAGTTAAAGCGCTTAGGTACAGAGCGAAGGATTGTGAGATGGATAAGACGCGTCCGAAGAGAAACTTCGCTATTGCGGCGTTATCTCAGTTGACTAACCGGGCACTTTTTGGCGCCGCGTATAGAAAAGCCGTAAGTTCCATGCCTAGGTCTTCAACATAGTGAAATTTTTCCCATTTGGTTAATTTTTTATATCTGTTCATGTAAATTTTAACGTCATATCTGTGACGGAAATACTTCTGTAGAGTTTTGGTGGACAACGACACAAAATACTCTCATGATAAAAAGACATTTGTAGCACTTTTTTATGGAGTCTAAGTAATGAACCACCTCTTTCATATCAATTCACTTTTTACGTACACTTTACTGGAGCGCTCAAGGCCATTTGAATGTTTTTATGGTATTTAGTCATGGTAATTGTTTGATGATACACTAGAGAAAATAGTTCAGTTTTGCTACACTACTTCTTTGCCCGCATCGGAGAGCAGCCCCCATCTGTACCCAAAAGAAATTTTTCACGTGCGGAAAATTGAAAGTCCGGCATGTGGCTGCTCAATCTGAACCTCTCAGACCAAATCGTGGATACCCGTGACTCGGCAAGCGCATGACAAACTTACGAACATTGTATTTGGCAAAAACTCTGGCTTACTGCACGTTCATTTGTGGTAGGTACTTATATAAATCACTTTTAATCGGTAACACGTAGCAGTAGCTGACTTATGAAATAGAAAACATGAAGCCTTTTAATGAGATACCCGTAGAGTACGACAAATGGCAGCTCTCTAACTCTTCCTTTTTATCATAGTTCTAGCTTGTAAACCTTCACCTGAGGATTCGTGAATCGTTCGTTGAACAAGGCTAATCTTTCAATCTAGCTAAACATAACATTTGTCTGTAGTAGCCCTTGAAAAACCTGTCACCTACTTGCCAACCACAAGACTTCGTAAAAAAAACCAAATTCACGCACCTCGAAAATTATTCACTCTGACGGGGTCACTCAACTTTCAACGTGCAATGTACACAATACAAGTAATACTCCCTTATTTACACATGGTCACTATTTCATTATTTGGCGTTGTTTTAGTCAGCACTTTTTGATGATACCGCCGTTTTGCGTCGCACACACATATTAAAATATTGGCTGCCTGATATCTAACAGTATAATATTATTAGTAGTTAGGAAAAAAAATTTTCTAAATGCAGGTGCTACACACGCCGGTGCATTATTCACCTTGAAAACGTTTCTTTTATTACAGGAAAGACGTCGTCTTCGACATAAACTTTGCAGAAACTCCTGGAGAAGGCACATTTTTTGTGAACAATGGTAAGTCGACCTTTTCGTCTTCACAAGCTAAACACCATCTCCTATGAAACGAAAATAGCACACATCACAACTTTCATTATCATCAACATCGTCATCAGTCTCACTACGTCCGCTGCAGGATAAAGGCCTCTCCCATGTTCCGCCAGTCAACTCGGTTCTGTGCTCGCCCCGCTGACTCGCAGGTCACGGGATCGAATCCCGGCATCGACGGTTGCATTTCCGATGGAGGAGGAAAAATTTGTAGGCCCGTGTACTCAGATTGGGGTGCACGTTAAAGAAAGAACCCCAGGTGGTCGAAATTTCCGGAGCCCTCCACTACGGCGTCTCTCATAATCATATGGTAATTTTGGGACGTTAAACCCCACATATCAATGAATCAATCGCTCCTGTGCTCGCCGCGGCCAATTTATACCCGCAAACTTCTTAAACTCATCTGCCAATCTAACTTTCTCTCTCCCCCTAACCCGCTGGCCTTCTTTGAAAATCCAGTTAATTACCCTTAATGACTAGTCGTTACCTGCCTACGCGCTACATTCTCAGCCCATGTCCGTTTCCTCTTCTTGATTTCAGCTATGATATCCTTCACCCCGGTTTGTTCCCTGATCAATTCTGCTCTATTCTTGTCTCTTAAGGTTACACCCATCATTTTCATTTCTATCGCTCGTTGCGTCTTCCTCAATTTAAGCTGAACCCTCTTTGTAAGTCTCCATGTTTCTGCTCCATAGCTATGCCCAGTCGAAATTGACAACAGGATACCACAACATCTTTTCTGTTGTCTTTCGTATTTTCGAACGTTGTTGTCTGTCGCACCGTTGTGTGTCCCCTGTTGTCTATTGTCTGTCTTTTTCTGTCTTGTTGTCTGTTGCCGTTCGTATAGTCTATTGAGTATTGTATAGTCAATCATTTGTATACTCGTTTATAGTGTATTGTATAGTTTACAATAAAGTTAAATATAGTTTACTTATAAAGTTGAAAGTCCTTAGGGTAGACCTGACGCTACTGAAGTTTCATTAGGTGAGGTTTATTAGTTCCAGAGTTATTCCGCAATCAAAATTAAGCCTAATCACTAAAAAGTTTAAATTTGTAATATCACCTCGCAAACGCACTTAAATTTTGTCCGCCAAATATAATAATAAACCGCACCCCATAGGCTACCAGGAGGCCCAATTTTGTACACTCTAAGCCCTAAATTAAGGTGGTAATCAGCAAAAAGCTCATTTCAATAAAACGATTTTTCAAAAGGAGCCAGAAACGCCACCAAAAAATAGCTAATATCTTCTTTTAGAAAACAACAGTCCGGTTTTTTCCGTGTACAAATAATTTTGATAGCTTAAGGTAACCGGAAGATACAGAGTTAGAAAGAATATAACGAAAACTGCTAATAAACGTGTGGCGCCCGCGTCTTCCCTCGCTCAGAGAAGGAGGGTGGCTCACTGCTCGGGAGAAAGGTACGCCCGTCAGATGAAAGTCTTGAACCACGTGTTTTTTTTTTGCCCTTACGATCGCTTTTTACTTTGCTAATAACCGACCGGGAAACTTCTAACTCATACAGTGCAAAGCCCTAATTGTAGACCTGTCGCCCCTCAAGTTTCATCAGGACAGGAGTAATAGTACCGGAACTATTTCGTGACCAAAATTATTCCTAATCACTAAAAACTATTAATTTGGTAACATCACCTCACAAACGAATTTAAATTTTGTCCGCTTGATATATTAATAAACAGCACCCCATAGGCTAATCGGAGGCCCAACTCCGTACTCTCTAGACCCTTAATTAAGGGGGTAATCAGCAGAAATCTTATTTCATTAAAACATTTTTATAAAAACAACCACAAACTTGACTGATACACCACTGAAACCTACATTTAGAACATAACAATCCGGGTGCGGCGATGGCATAGTGGTTAGAGCATCCGCCTCGCATGCAAGAGGTCCGTGGTTCAAATCCCGGTGCCGCGCAGTTCCCAACCGGAAAAAAAAATCCGCGTGTTGATGGAACTGCATTAAGAGGCCTAAGGTGCGGCCTCACCGGTAACCACCACCGGGAACGCACTCCCTCACCAGAGAAGGATTGGCCACCCTGGTGCAGTATCTGGCCACTACCTCCCACATGCATACGTCAAATAACTCACGGCCCTCAGTTCCCAGCAGCTGCGAAGCAACTGACCATGGCGGCGGTCAGATCTGCAACGCAGCATAGGGTGCGAAGAATCTCTCGACTACAGGCTGCCTTTGGAACCTGAACTTGGCGACGTTTAACGCTAGAACCTAATCTAGTGAGGGAAGTCTAGCTGTACTACTCGAGGAGCTAGAGGGTGTTAAATGGGATATAATAGGGCTCAGTGAGGTTAGGAGGACAGATGAAGCTTATACTATGCTACAGAATGGGCATGTCCTTTGCTATCGGGGCTTGGCAGACAGAAGAGAACTGGGAGTGGGGTTCCTAATTCACAGAAACATAGCTGGCAACATAGAGGAATACTATAGCATTAATGAAAGGGTGGTAGGTATTGTAATTAAACTGAATAAAAGATACAAGATGAAGGTAGTACAGGCTTACGCGCCTACATCCAGCCATGATGACGCTTCAGTTGAAAGCTTCTATGAAGACGTGGAATCGGCAATGAGTAAGGTAAAAACACAGTACACTATAGTGATGGGCGACTTTAATGCAAAGGTAGGGAAGAAGCAGGCTGGAGACCAGGCAGTCGGAGATTATGGCATCGGCAGTAGAAACGTCAGAGGAGAGCTACCAGTAGAATTCGCAGAACGCAATAATTTGCGGATTTTGAATACTTTCTACCGAAAACGAGAAAACCGCAAGTGGACATGGAGGAGCCCTAATGGCGAAAATAAGACTGCACACCCAGGAGTCGTGCAGGATGTGAAAATGGTTTGTAAGGTACGATGCAGTGACCATAGAATGGTACGGTCTCGAATTCGCCTAGACTTGAAGAAGGAACGACAGAAACTGATACGCAAGAAGCCAATCAATGAGCTATCACTGAGAGGGAAAGTACAGGAATTGAGAGTGTCGCTGCAGAACAGGTACTCGGCTCTTAGTGAGGAAACCAACTTTAGCGTAGATACAATGAATGATTATCTAACGAGTATCATTACGGAGTGTGCAGTGAAAGTTGGAGGCAGGGTAGTTACACAGGACACTGCCAAGCTTTCCCAGGAAACGAAGAACCTAATTAAGAAGCGTCAAAGCATGAAAGTGTCAAGTACAACAGACAAAATAGAACAGGCAGAGCTTTCAAAGTTGATTAATAGGCGTAAAGTATGCGATGTAAGAAGGTATAACATAAAGAGAATTGAACACGCTCTGAAAAACGGAGGAAGCGTCAAAGCAGTGAAGAAGAAACTTGGGATAGGCAAAATTCGGATGTATGCACTAAGGGACAAAGAAGGCAAAATAACTACCAATATGGATAGGATAGTTAAAATAGCGGAGGAGTTTTACAGAGATCTGTACAGTAGCCGAGACAACCACGACATTAATACTATAAGAACTAGCAATAACCCAGATGGCACCCCACCAGTAATGATAGAAGAAGTCAGAAAAGCTTTGGAGAGCATGCAAAGAGGCAAGGCTGCTGGTGAGGATCAGGTAACATCAGATCTGCTGAAAGATGGAAGACAGATTGTGTTAGAAAAACTAGCCACCCTGTTTACGAGGTGTCTCCTGACGGGAAGGGTACCAGAGTCTTGGAAGAACGCTAACATCATCTTAATACATAAGGAAGGAGATGACAAGGACTTGAAGAATTACAGGCCGATCAGCTTGCTCTCTGTAGTATACAAGCTATTTACAAAGGTTATTGCTAACAGAGTAAAGAAAACATTAGAATTCATTCAACCAAAGGAACAAGCAGGATTTCGAACAGGCTACTCAACAATTGACCACATTCATACTATCAATCAGGTGATAGAGAAATGCTCAGAGTATAACCAACCCCTATACATAGCCTTCATAGATTACGAGAAGGCATTTGATTCAGTAGAAATATCAGCCGTCATGCAGACACTGCGGAATCAGGGCGTAGATGAAGTATATATAAACATTCTGGAAGAAATCTACAGGGGATCAACTGCTACCATAGTTCTTCATAAAGAAAGCAACAGAATACCAATCAAGAAGGGTGTAAGGCAGGGGGACACAATCTCCCCAATGCTATTTACCGCGTGCTTACAGGAGGTTTTCAGAAGCCTGGAATGGGAACAGTTAGGGATAAGAGTTAATGAAGAATACCTAAGTAACCTGCGCTTCGCCGATGACATTGCATTGCTGAGTAACTCAGGGGACGAATTGCAACTCATGATTACGGAGTTAGACAAGGAGAGCAGAAAGGTGGGTCTTAAAATTAATCTGCAGAAAACAAAAGTAATGTACAACAACGTCGGAAATGAGCAGCGCTTCGAGATAGGTAATAGTGCACTTGAAGTTGTAAAAGACTATGTCTACTTAGGGCAGGTAACAACCGCTGAGCCTAACCACGAGATTGAAGTAACTACAAGAATAAGAATAGGGTGGAGTACATTCGCCAAGCACTCTCAAATTATGACAGGTAGATTGCCACTATCCCTCAAGAGGAAGGTATATAACAGCTGTATCTTGCCGGTACTTAGCTACGGAGCAGAACCCTGGAGACTTACAAAGAGGGTTCAGCTTAAATTGAGCACGACGCAACGAGCAATGGAAAGAAAAATGGTAGGTGTAACCTTAAGAGACAAGAAAAGAGCAGAGTGGATTAGGGGACAAACGGGGGTTAGGGATATCATAGTTGAAATAAAGAAGAGGAAATGGACATGGGCCGGGCATGTAGCGCGTAGACAGGATAACCGCTGGTCATTAAGGGTAACTAACTGGATTCCCAGAGAAGGGAAGCGGGTTAGGGGAAGACAGAAGGTTAGGTGGGCCGACGAGATTAAGAAGTTTGCGGGTATAAATTGGCAGCAGCAAGCACAGGACCGGGTTAACTGGCGGAACATGGGAG